TTTACCTTTTTATAAACTAATAATTAAATCTAATGCCTTCAAAACTTAACAAAACAAGCATTATGTACAAAAAATAAGACATTTCTTCATTGCTTCATTTTATGTAATGTAGGTTTCATCCAAGAATAAGATCTACTGAAATCCTCTTATACGAGTATGCTAATTCTCTTTTTCTTCTACCTGGCAATTTTCCTAGCTTTAGCCAGTGTCTGCCTTACATGGACAATAGTTTTGACTAATGGTATTTACGATCGGCCGCATAGCCTGCCTGACATCGACCCTCTTTGGGAATGCATTAATCAGTGATGTCTAAATACTCTTAGAAAGTACATATGACTCGGAAAAATCACATTGGAACTTGTCAGGGCCAGGATCGAACCCGCACCTTCATGCATGAGAGGCGGGCCTTTTAAACACTAGGCTACCACTGACTCTTATATGCTAATTATCTTTTATATAACGTTCCAGGTTTGTTGCGTGAATGAAACGTCGGATGATTCTTGTTTCAACTCTGACGCGATGCAAGGTGTATGTGTCGATGTTCGGTCATGTCCATCAATTGTTAAGCTACTTCAGCCACCGGTATCACAAAGCAGTCTGGAGTTCATTAAAAACTCCAGGTATGTGTAATAAAAAAACTAATCATCTATATTTATAAGTTTAATTAATTATTTAATTATTGCTATAGTATATTTTTTCGCTGTTTGTCCATTTAAGATTGATCTTAGAATTCTATTGTACCATATAAGAATCTCAATTGGTAATTCTAATGTAACTAGGTGTTTAGGCAAAACGACTCACAGCATATGCTGTGGACCAGATCATATCGAAAAGGTCCCTCTTCGTATTTGTAATCAGACATCAGCACCGCCCGACGTGAGAACGGAATGCTGTGGTGTGGATCCTTCCACTGGGAATAAGATTTTTGGTAAAACAATACAAGCGACATATATTAATTATAAGTTGGAATTAATAGATTAGTATGATATAGGCGTATTATGCAAAAGGATAAATGTCATGTAACAAGAAGAATGTAAGACATGTGGAGGGATATGTGGCTCGAGGTAGAACTAAGATAGAAAGAATGGATTGTGTGAAGTATGGCTGACAGACGAGAATGGAAGACAAGAACATGTTGTGACGACCCTAAATTAAGTGGGATCAAAACAGGGAAAAGAAGATAAAGAAGACATAATAATATGTAAACATTACTAGAAAAATAGAGTAAATAGATTCAAGTTTGTATCTGAAACATTGTCCCTGTCCATACAACCTATTAAAAGAAAATATCTTATCTAAGAAACTTCATCGTATATTGCTCCTATTCATATGACCCTAACTAAATAAATTAATAATTAAATATTAATATCATATAATTTTTTTTCAGGAGGAACTTCAACAGCGATAGATCAGTACCCTTGGTTAGTTCTCATAGAGTACAGGGACAAATACAATAAAATAAAATTACTCTGTGGAGGTGGTCTTATAAGTTCCAAGTACGTGTTAACGGCTGCACATTGCGTAATCGGACCAGTCATGAACTCCGGAAAGCCGTAAGCATTTACTCTAAACAGATACATCTAAACGTCAATTGAGATAATTCATATTCAATAATTTTTCAGAGAAAATATTAGGCTCGGAGAATATGACATATCAAACTCTGGATCTGATTGTGTTGAAGGAGAGGGTGGAGGAATGGACTGTGCTGATGAAGTACTCGTGATACCTATTGAGAAGATCATAGCACATGAGGGTTACGACTATACGTCTCCATTAAGAAGAAATGATATTGCTCTTATAAGGATGGCTAAATTTGCTCCATCTACGGGTAAAAATTGCTATAATTAATACTTAATAAATTATATACTTCCAAACTACGAAGTTCCTGTTGTTACGACTAAACTATTTTAATCTTATTTCAGGTTTCATTCAACCAATCTGTCTTCCAACTATGGACGTAACATTGTCCAAAGACAATTTAGTTTTCACAGCCGCTGGCTGGGGAGCAGTATCAATCGACCAATCTTCAGCAAATGTAAAAATGCACGTCGATTTACCGTATCAGAGAGGCGAGGTAAAAGCATTCGCTTGCAAAAAATAAATTTTATTTAATAAAAAAAACTATTTCACTACATTTTTCGAATACATCATATATCAATATCAATCATAAATAATTTCAACAAACAAAAATATTAAAGAGAAATATGTCAAGCAATTTGGGAAAAACATTATTAATACTTTACGTTATTCTATTAAGAACACTTTCCAATTAATTTGTTTGATTACATTTTAGTATCGGAACGTATTCTGTGTAATTTTGTTTTAATTTTATAGGACACTATGAATTCGTCACTATAACTGTAAACACATTTTGATTGAATTGAGCACACATAATATTGAACCAACTGTTAATATTAAAAAAAAAAACGAAATATAAATAATATGGAAACAAATATTCCAGGAATGTCAGAAGGCCTACAACGTTTCCAGCAGAAAAGTGGAACTATGGAACCGTCAGTTGTGTGCTGGAGGTGTGAAGGGTAAAGACACTTGCCGAGGAGACTCTGGCGGGCCTCTTATGTATGACAACGGCAGGTCTTACTCCGTCATAGGAGTCGTCAGCTTCGGACCCTCGCCGTGCGGCTTGGAGGACGTGCCGGGAGTTTACACCAAAGTCTACGACTATCTGCCTTGGATAAGGACGCACATTAAACCTTGATTGGACATCAAAATCAGCTTCGATTGTATTTTATGTATATATCGTATACACCCCAGAATCAAGATTTTCAAATAATTCAAAAACTGTAATTTCCGTCGAAAATTTTATAGACAAAACTGTTTAATTAAAAATATTACTAGTATTATTATATAAAATATTATTGGACAATTCCAAAAATAAAATTGAAAAAAAAGAAAAAGATAAAGCAATTTTGAATACCCCCTGAACACGGCTTCCACGTCCACTGTAATTTTCTTTGCAAGTTTAATAATAATCTTTTGTCTATAACATACATTTTAAAACATAACACGTTTTATATGTACCTTTCTTTACCCTATAGTAATAAATACTGGTACAATAAGCTGGTAATGGCAGCAATGAGAACATACAAACTTTTTCATGACAATCACGAAATATAGAATTAGTTCCAAGGAGCACTAGCAGCTTAAGCTTAAAATAAATTGCATTATATGAGTAAATTTGAATTTAAATGTCTGAAACTTATAGACAGTTTTTATAAATATTCTTATTCAAATAACATAACAAGATAGCCAATTAATCAATTGAAACCACGTCACGAACACCACAGTAACAAACACGTTGTTTATTAATTGAAACAGGAAAATACAGCCGTGATTGATACAATGATGCACTTACTTACATTTCAGAGTAAATTGTCACAAATGTAATTCAATTAACTTATTAAATATTAAGAATATTTACTATCGCTTAGTATTTTATACATAATGTGTGGATGAGATATAATAAATTAAAAACTTTTATATTGAAAGTCTCGAATTGATTGTGGGTATAGTTTGGGTTTAACCATAGTTAAATCTAATTATATTCTTGTCTTGTCTTGACTATTGTACACAAGAATTAGATGATAATGAAAACTAGTATTTAACTGGAAAACTTTGCAAATAATACAATAAATGACTTGATATTTTTCTCAGTACTTTTAATATTGGGGACTTTACCAGGGACTGTATTCAAGTTATTACATATTTTACGTTGGTGAACTGTTCCATGTATTGATTTATGACGTTCAAATATTTTAAATAACTCATATAATAAGTCTCAGATATACTAAAAATCATTGCAAATAATAAAGATAAAAGAGAAAAAGTTTAATTAAATAGGCATCTTAGGCAGAACCTTAGATGAGAGGAATACAGATATTTGTACGCAGATGGTTTATCCAATACGAAAAAATCTGAGTAGATTTTTGAAATGAAATTTTATTAACTAAATTAATTATGGTATATAAATGCTACAGGATTTGAAGTTTATTAAGCAGTTCTTCTGTAATATTGGGATAGGATAAGTCAGAATAGTGTGTAGAGAAAGAAAGAGGATTCCAAAATAATTGTTAGTTTTGTCTTAATGTATGGAAGAATTTCTTTTTACCTGTCAAACCTTCAAGAAGTATATTAAATTTTGGCAATTTTTTAACACTATACAATATAGTAACTTGTCAGGCTTGAAGAGAATATCAAATAATGTTCTCCAGTAAATTATTATAAACAAAACATTATTTAGTAGATCAATACCTTTTAATGTTGTCAATTTTATTAGGAAATTACACATTAAAATCCCTAACAATAAGTATGATAATAAAAAAACTAATTTAGTATTAGTATTAATGAAGATAGACAAGATCAGTGAAAATACATAGAACTTATGGACATCAACTTTAAATGAAATAATTGGTGAAAAAAATGGCCAGTAAATGTTATCTTAGAAGGGATAATTTAAAACCAAAACATTATAAGCATTACTTACATTAAGTGGCGCAATAATAATGACTCATTTATAGTCCCCGTCCAGTAAATAAAAAATTATGACAAATATCCAAAAAAAAGTACATAATATTTTAATATTAGTGATGTCTAAGATTAAACAAAAAAATTTAGAACTATACATTTCAATGAATACATTTACAAAACATGAGATTGTTTTATGGTATTTTTTTATGAATATTATAATTAATTCATATTACTACGTCGTTTGCCAGTTACAAGTGATAATTAATCTTGAACACAGACAGATTCCTTATCTACAGAACGTTGAGTTCCTCGTTCAATTAATATAATAAATATTTTTAAGCAATACCATTATAACGATAAGGTTATATATGACAATATAAATGAAATGCCGTTACTCTGACATATTTTCCTCGTGCGTATGAATCATTATACATATTATAAGAGAACCAGTATCACTTGTGAGCGGACCGTCCTTCTGTCAGGACTTGTATTAAGTGTTGTTTTTCCTCAAAATGGATTTCTCTATACTACTATGTGTCGTATTATACATCGTGCATTCATTGGAATTCGTTGAAGCTGGTACGATAACGTGTTGATTGAGAACAACTATTATTTTTATTAAATGTATTCTAAATCAATATTTTCAATGAAAACAACTTCATATTTACATGTTACAACTTGTTTAAAGTGCTATATATTATACTATTTAGTATAATTTCAACATCAACCGAAAATTTCTATTGGTTCGATCAAAAAATTTAACTTTTGTATAGAAGATTTTTTTTTATATTTTTGGTTAGGATTAATGAAACCAATAATTTTTTCTTCAGATAAAAAATGTAAAGTCCCGAATGGTGATGCCGGTAACTGTGTCAGTATAACTATATGCCTGCCATTGAAAAACCTATATAAGAAGAAACATAAAACATTAAATGAAAACAGATTTATAAGACAATCTATTTGTGGTTCCAGAGACTCAGATCCAATAAAGGTAAGTTGATTGAACTACAGCTTGAAAATGAAATTACTTCAAATCAAATAATGAAAATAGAAAATGTCTGTTTATCAAAGCTTCTTATAATAGTTTTGTTGATATTAGACAAGCAATGCCGAGGATATAATTAGTATGATCTTTAATTTTAACAAATATAAGGATGTGAAAGTTAATATGACATGCGTACTTTCTACAACAAATCATTTTAAGATTTTGGAAGATTAAAGAAATTTTCAATAATAAGCTTAAAGGATCATGTCAATAAATGAAAGCGTAATTAATTATACATAAAGACACAAATCATTTAATGAAATATGATTGGTTATATGAACTTGAGTCAAAATGTTTCTATCAAAACTACATTCGAATACAAATATTTCGTACTATGTATAAAAATCAAATAGTTATTGTAAATATTTTCGTAATCTGTAAATATAATCCGTATTTATGTTCTTATTACTAATTAGATATAGTAAATATATTTCACTAGGCAAAAATCTATTACTACATAAAAAAATCGTGAGGAAATCTAGACTTATAATAATAAGTTTGAAATCACCAATCCGTCTTGAGCAAACGTGGTGATTAATGCTCAAACCTTCTCAATGTGAGAAGAGGCCTTTGCTCAGCAGTGGACTCTGATAGACCGATGAGGACGACATAAGAACATACTAACATTAATTGATTTATAGGTCTGCTGCCCACCAGAGTCTTCATGGGAACATTTGATTCCTAGGCCGGTTGAAGTCCCATCATCACCAGTTTATAGAAGACCCAAACCAGAGCCGACCCTAATACAACCCAATACACTCATGATACCATCATTCAACAGCAGCGACAGACTGATAGATAAATCAACGAGGCCAGAACCAGACCTTGAAGACTACAGCAGTGTCTGCGGTATAGACTCATCCAGTGGGAATAGAATTACAAGTGAGGTGGAGTTTATTATATCTAACTTTATAAATATAATTCTTCTATGAGTATGTATGTCACTGAACTTCCCTCAAACGACTGGACCGATTTTGATGAAATTTTTTGTGTGTGTTCAAGGGGATCTGGGAATTTTTTAGATACACAATTTTGTCCGCTGGACAATGTTTTTTTAATTAATTTTTAATTTATTAGTAGTTGTTGATACAAACGTTTTTTTGACATTAGATTTGACAACTAACTAATATGTCAATCATTCTGTCGCACTTTAGAACACGGAGATTTAGGGCTTAAAGGTAAACTCCAAAAATATAAATAAAAAAACGTAATAGATATTTCTTGATTATAGGGCGATACGAAGTTCGCCAGGTCTTCTAGTATTATATAAATAAATACTTTTACTATAAAACGGGTAACTATATTTGGATGGGTATTATATATTCGTGAAGTTTGATCAACGCTTGTATAATGTCAATAAATATCAAATATGTATGTATAACATTTATATTAAACATTTAAATAAATAATTAAATTGATTTAATAAATATATCAAAGATAATATTCAGTTTAAACCAATCCATATACGAAGAATAATTAATACATGTAGTTATGTTATATTGTCTTCTACCTGGCAATTTCCAAGCTTTAACCAGGGTCTGCCTTATATGTTGCGAATAGTTTTGGCTAATTGTTTTTACGCCCGGCCGCCTGCCTGCCATCAACCCTCTTTGGGTAGTTATGTTATGTTATATGAAGGTAAATTCTAATCAAAGTTATATATTTTTTAGATGGTAATGTGACCGCTGTTGACCAGTATCCTTGGCTAGCTTTATTGGAATATTCATACGGCTTCCTCGGCTGTGGTGGAAGCTTGATCAGCTCTAGATACGTGCTCACAGCCGCACATTGTCTTAAGAGCTTACAAAACGGAAAACCGTTAGTATTAAACATATTTATATAGTTGTGATTATGATTCTTTTAAGTTTAAATGAAACAAATATTTTCTGACTAGCTTTTGCCGCGACTCCGTCCGCGTGGAATAGTGACTTAAAGCAGATTTTTGGTTCTTTCCACATAGTTCCCGTTCTTGTGGGGTTTTCGGAATGGTCGAGTTCCCGTAGAATTTTCAGAATAAAACCTATGTTTTTTTTAATTCACAATGAAGTGCTCTTAACCAACAACATATTTATTTGAATAAAGATTAATATTATTATGTTGATACAACTTAAACAAGTTATGTCGACCAAATTAGGTACCATAAAAACGGTTTTTGTGAGTTAATCTTAAAAGATAGACATATACTGTCGCGGACTGTTTTTTAGATCATTAAAAAAGCTATTATTCTTTAATACATATTTTTTGTGTATCTTGAACCGTTTTCACGGCGCACGCAACGGAAGGCTTCAAAGATGAAATAATTTCTCCCGTTTTTTACACATTTACCACTATATCTTTGCTCCTATTGGTCGTATCGTGACGTTATATAGCCTAAAGCCTTCCTCGATAACTGGACTATCCAACACAAAAAGAATTATTCAATTCGAACCAGTAGTTTCGGAGATTAGCGCTTTCAAACAAACAAACAAATAAACAAACAAACAAACTCTTCAGTTTTATAATATTAGTATAGATTTGCTATGCGGTTTTTATTTTTGATTATAAACTACATACTCCCGACGTTTCGCTTACTTTGGAGCAACCGTGATCACGGGCATGTGAAATGTGAATGAAATATTAGTTATAGCAATAAATACTCGCGAAAATCTTAGATAATATTGTTGTAATATATTGCAGCAGTTGAATACCGCTACTTCTAGTACTAACTACAAACAGGACCATACAGTCGTCTTTTTTATGTATATTTGCAATACATATATGTATATATAAATTTCAGATTATATGTCCGTCTTGGGGAATACGACATCACTTCCTATCCCACGGACACCGTTGAAATAGATGGCGGTGGTTATGAGGTTGTCACAGTAACAATAATAGGTATTAAGGCTAGGTTTACACATCCATCTTATTCTAGAGAACAGAAAATACATGATATTGGTCTCATTGAAATGGAAGAAGCAGTCAGTTTTAGCGGTAATTATTATTCATAATATTGTTTAGAAACTTAACTAAACTTTTCCCATACAATTCCTGCTTATAATCAACTGGTGTTAAATTTATTACAGATTTCATCAAAGTCATTTGTCTTCCACAAATGGATTACATGCCAAGCTTTAATAGCTCAACCGTATTCTACGTAGCTGGCTGGGGCAGCGACAATATTACTTCTGGCACCGCGGTCAAAATGGAAACTATTGTCCCATACAAACTTCATAGCCAATGCCCATTAGTGACTGAAACGTATCCAATACACCAGATATGCGCTGGAGGGGAAGGTGGAAGGGACACTTGTAGTGGGGATTCTGGTGGTCCATTGATGTATGAGACACCGAATCACACATACGAAGCCGTGGGTATCGTGAGTTACGGCTCCAGGGATTGTGGTAAAGAAGGCGAACCTGCCGTTTACACTTACGTATACAAATATCTACCCTGGATAAGAAGTGTACTTAGCGGTAATGTGGACTATATGAGGTAGATAATTTTAATATCACATAAGTAAATATATTATATATACATATTGTTTAATTCTATAGGATACTTTTAGTATATTTATTACTTACTAGTTTTTGCCCGCGACTCCGTCCGCGTTAATTTCGTCGTTAGTAATATAGGTATAGCAGACCGGGCAAACTCTATTCCGTCTTCAATAACCCGGTATTGGTATTTATTAAATTTCTACTGTTTCAATCGAACAGAATGATTGACATATTAGTTAGTTGTCAAGTCTAATGTCGAAAAATCGTTTGTATGGGAAATATAAAAGGGCTGTTTTTAGGGTTTTCCCGGCAATTATTCCAATTTTTCTCACCTTTTAAACCTTCCCTGGACTTCCAGGAGTATTTCAAGACTAAAATCAGCCAAATCGGTTCAGCCGTTCTCGAGTTTTAGCGAGACTAAGGAACAGCAACCCATTTTTATATATATAGAAGAAGAAGATAGAAGATAGAAGATAAAATAGTATTATCTAAACATAGACTCTTATACAGTCAATATTTTGCGAAATACCGAATATTTTAATAGACCATTAAAATTATAAAATTTCATAACAAATTGTTATATAAATATTAGACGCTCGAGAATCCCGGGAGATATTTTCAATAATTGATGTCAAAAACCCACGAGGAAAACCGTGGGTTAATACTAAGATAATGTTAAAAGAGTTATAATTAACTGACAGTACAATTTTAGTTTTTACTAAATTTCTTAAAACCCAAAACGTTACTTAAAAAAAAGAAAGAAAATTTGAAAGACATTTGTAATTACTTTCCATTTTCAGAAAGTAACCTCATAAATAATCAAAACAATTTTAATGTAAAGATAAATTCCTATTGTAATCATTTCAAAAGTCAATATTTCGAATACAGCATCAATCGAAGAATTAATATTTAATAATTAATTTTAGTACATAAAGATAACTTCGACATGTATTCTTCAAAGTAACTTAAAGCAAAATAACTTATTTAATGTTTAATAGTAATAATAATATTAAATATATCAAATTAATTTATACTTCAAACAAATAATTTCTTCTGATAAAAATATTTGTTTAATATGTAAATTACATTTATTATTACATAGGTACTGCACAATATCCTTGTAAGAAGTACATAGTGCTACCAATTTCGTACTTTGTATAAAATTAAAAACTGCCAGTTATTTCATAGTTATAAATGAACTTATGTGTAAATATAATAAAATATAGTATGCCATAGTAATTAATTAAATTTAGATCATGTTATGTTTAAAAAAATATATGATAAGATATAAACATTGTGTTGTAATTATTTATAATCAAGAAAGAATGTTTACGTACCTACCTTTCATTTTAAAACATTAAATATGGGCACATGATCCACATTTTTTCATGACATGTAGATAAAGTACTAATTAGTGTAAAAAATTAAATGTTTACTCACCTCTTGCGTTTGTCGCTGCATCGGCGATTTTTTGGAATGCATCGAGAAACGTTGCTATGGCAACCAGAGCCGATCTGATAAGAAATAAATAAATCATATGAGTATATAATACTATATACATAATTTTGATGTTGTTTTTGAGACTACAATATTACTAGGTCAATAACCTATTGATTACAAGACGATTACGTGTTCGCCTTACAAAAAAGTTATAGCAAATACGTTTTATATTATATTTGTAGTTTTTTATCAAATAATTAAAACATATTGGTTTCTAGTTCCATACATAAGTGTAGTAACAAAAATTCATAAAATACATTTTCTATGTATAGCTACTAATAGTAACTAAACGAAATAATGGCCGAATTTTTTTCTGTTTTATTCAGAATTTGGTGTATCTCACAAATCAAGCATTGATTTCATTTTTAAATCAATTTAAATATTATTCTGACTTACAAGCTATGAAGAATAAGTTTATTTTAAAAATCAGTAAATTTTAGCAGAAGTCCCTCCAAATAGTATAAGGACATATTTTATTTCACAAAAAATGAGTTAAATCAACATACCGTTTTATTTTTAACTTAATTTTAATGTTAACCTGGCTTATGAACTATACAGTATAACTTGTATGTTTGAAAAACTTTTAGTAAATTACAGTAGAGTACCAACATAGTCTAGAAACGTATTTTATTTCAGAAACAATGAGTTTAAAGCACAAAGTTAGTACTTTAAATAAGCTTTAGGCCGCGGTTGTTTCATGAGATTACCCTCCAGTTCTAAAACTTGATTATTTAGAATTAGTTATTTCAGAATTGCTAAAAACATAATAACGAGACAAAAATATACGTATATCTTGTTATGAAAAACTTGTAATGTTTTTAAAGAATAAACATATAAAAATATTCATAAAATTTCCTTTATCACATAATTTGAAAAGAATTTGATTCATTATTAAAAAAAAAGAATGTCCATAAAAAGAAAAAATCGACCTTTTACGACTTTGGTAGTAATTAGTAGCTATATACATACATAGTATTAAAAAAATCTTTTATAAAATATATGTAGAATGTATGTGTGAAATCGAATTCACAATTTTTGCAGATTAAATTCCTTAGGCGTTCATGAATGTTGATAGACAATTAAAATCATATGGAAAATATAATTTGTTTATTTTATATATTAAAAGATGAAAAACTATTTATCAAAAACGGACATAGTGTTTGGACATCTGAAAGTTTTTCCCTTAGTTTTATTGCCATAGAGATTATAAGAATATAAAATGAAGTTATAGGATTATTCTGACACGAATTTAGTTCTTTCAATACTAAGTGATCAAGTCCTAAACATTATCTTCTGTAAGTGTCCTTGATCAGCCCTCTTTATATATTTAGTTAAATATTATTTATTAAATATTATTTGTACTTACTTTAATGCAGAATGAAGTTTTGTAGCCTTCGATATAAATTCTTCCCACATCGGGGCACTGTTCTGTAAAGGAAATTATTATATTAGTAACAATATTTACATATGTAAACAAATGCAAAGACAAATATCAGTTGAAGACAGTTATAAAGACGAACATATCTATATTAATAATCCAACCTGTTCATATATCTTATATATTTAAATATTTAAATGAGCAACTTTTGTATACATATTTATATATAACTAGTAAACCTGGCGAACTCCGTTTCGCCTCCAGTAGGCTTTGTTTTATGTAACATTTCGTTTGGTGATTAAAAGATGAAGATTTTTTTTTTGTTTTATATTTGAAAAGGAAAATTTTTATTTCATTTCACAACAGTAATGAATTCATTTCGATTACAAAAATGAAGTGTTATTTAGTTGAACTTCTCTAAGTAAATGAAAGTGAATCCAAAGTAGATACCGAATCGAAGCGTTATATCTACGTGTCCGCAAATTATCCGTTTCATTGAAGTGCTCCTTTGTAAACCACATTTTTTGTTTTTTTGTCTAACGTTAACACAAATAAAGCGGATGGTTTCCCAATTCGTGAACACACAAACTATAATTGCCCATGTGAAAAACAACGATTTTCTAAATTTATCCCGCAAATACTAAATTACATATCTGTCATTATACGTCAATTGCATAGCTGTCAATTTTGTTTCGTTATTCCACGTTTTATAGTGACTGACGTTTCATGTCAAGTCCCACGGGAATGCTGTCGAACGGGATAAAAAGTATCCTATTGGAATTTCCTGGCTCTAAACTACCTCCCTGCCAATTTTCAGCTAAATCGGTTCAGCCGTTCTTGAGATATAAGTGGAGTCACTAACACGACTTTCTTTTATATATATAGATTGGAACCTCGGAAACGACTCCAACGATTTTCATGAAATTTAGTATATAGCGGAGTTCGGGGGCGATAAATCGATCTACCATCATCAGCCTATCAGAGCCCACTGCTGAGCAATCGCCCCTTTCTCACATGGAGAAGGTTTGAGCATTAATCACCAAGCTTGCTCAAGACGGGTTGGTGATTTCAAACTTATAATTGTGAAACTATAAGTCCAGGTTTCCTCACGATGTTTTCCTTCACCGTATGTCAGTGGTGTCTAAATACTCTCAAAAAGTACATTTGACTTCGAAAAATCACATTGGTACTTGCTTGGTATTGTTTTGTGTCTTAACATGTTCACTTAGAAATGCCTAAACGAAATTTAAAAAAAAACACACAAAATAAATACTAATAATTCCTAAATATCTAGCTAAGCTCGGTAACCAGATATTGTATATCTAAAAGAGCAATTAGTATATATGTATATATGATGTATGTGTTTTTCCAACCCTCATCATGACACAGATGCTTAACCTAACAAGCGGTCTCAGTGCAGACTGAGCCAAAGCCCTTTGCCACCCTCGCAGACTGTACTATGAACTCTCTTAACCGCATGAGTATATTGTAGCAACATATAAACGTCTTATAAGATCATTAATGAACAATCATTATATATTAAGTTACTTCAATAAAAGATAATGCTATCGATTTCATTCTCTGAAATTTCTCAAGTGGGAATAACGAAGATGTTGGACCATAATGATTAAAATTACTCCGATATAACAAAAAAAAATATAATATATTTTTCAAAAATCACATCATGCTTTTGTCTCACGTATGTTATGGTCACTATAAGTATAAGCTAATAATTGTCTACTTCTATGTATACAGGGTGACTAGTGAATTACTATCAATATTTAAGGAGAATACTCGGTACAATATTTAAGGAGAATACTTCGAATTATCAATATTTAAGGAGAATACTTCGAATTATGTAAAAAAATAGGTACTTAATTTTTGACCAAATTTCCGTATAAATAAATAAAGCGTGGACACGTTCCAAGTGTTCCAAGTGTGGACGCGTGCGGTGGCGTGCTGTTACAACACCACGCCACCGCACGCGTATGTGTGAGAGTGTGTGTATACCTAATCTGTAGGGTGTTCACACGATGCGTTATTAATTACATAACTTTTGGTTAACTTTACTTAGAAGTTTATTAATATTTATGTTATATTAATTTTTATTTTGTCATATAT